TTATGCACAAACTGATTAAATCAAGTACACAGGCACTTTATATACATGGTATAGAGTATGGTCAAGCAACAAACAAAGTTTAAAGCAGCCTGTCATAAGATGTGGCATTTGAATTGCAAATATGGCATTTTTAGGTATGAAGACATCAATTCAAGGTTACAAAACAATCCAGTCTAATTCAAACATAAATACACAGGCTGCAAATATGTATTTAAATGAGTTCAAATAATCAATTTAGTGCAGGACCAGACATTGTGTGATTTGGTGTTCAAACTGCTCAAGTGTAATTGTGAAATGCAGTGTGACATCAAACTAGAGTTCCAAATAGTTTTAGGTCAAACCAAACATGTGCACATACTGTAAGTGTGTTATGGAAATGATTCAAACAGACATGGATGCTAGAAATAAGATAATATGAACAATGGCATTTTGATGATAATTAAAACATGATATGATGCAGTTGGTATGTCAAGTCAGAATGAATGCAAAAATTGGGCCAGGTAACCTCATACACATCATACATACATAATATCAATGGTGTCTAAACACCAAGAAGGGTCCAAAACAGATTGAGGTGGGAAATGGCATCCCAACTGCTACTTAGCAACATGACCAAGCATGAACAATTCCAAAATCAGCATAAAGCATATTTGAATAGAAATAGACATATACACATGCTACAGATGAGATAACAAATGAGTTTCAACTCATAGACCAACCAAAATGCCAATGCAAAATGGAATCAATATATTGATGCAAACATGTTTGCTCATGCTGTAGCAGCAGAGCAATTTTGGCAAGGGTGATGTTCTAGGCAAATCAAAGCATACACACACATTATAGGCATGATAAGGGACAGGCTTTAAGGCAACAACCAAACACACTTTCACAAATGCTAAAACTCAACATATGGATCATAACAAAAACAGTGACATTGCAAATTTGATGACAATCAAAGCAAAGATCATGATAATGAAATGATTTGAATTAGAGATGAGTTACCTCTTATAGACAAACTTGTAAGTAAGCTAAAATGTCAAAGAAAACCAGAGAATGCTTCCACACCACCAAGCCTTGGACTTGCCTTCTTCTTGAAGCAAGGTGCCAATCTTAAGACAGTTTGAGAAACAAGTGTTACCACTGATTCTTAGGGCTTTGAACAGTTGAGGTAGGATATTTGCAAGGTGTTTGAGTGTTTAGGAACTCAAGAAAATGGCTGGAACAAGTTTTGGCCAGTTTTATGCAATATGGTCAAAGTAGCTTAGCATGAGAGTTGACTTTTGTGAAAATGAGATTTTTGAGAGGTTTGAGTGTATGGACACCTTCTACACAATGTTTAGGGATTGTGTATATGGTTTTGAGGGACTTGGAGATGCTTGAACTGATCTTGAGCAGAATTTTGCTCAAGACAACTTTTTTGGTGAAAAATGGAGATTTTGGAATTTTGAAATTCTTAAGGAAATGAGAAGGGATTGAGAGCTATTGTTTCTCTGATTTTTTTGAGATTTCTCTGGTGTCTTTTGCAGATGGTGAGGATGCCTCTATTTATAGGAGATGTGAGGGTGAGGGCAACCTTTGTCATTTCCATTTTTGGAGGGAGATTTGGAAGAAAATCCTTCCAAATCTAGTGGCAGCCATCTTCACATCAGTTACAAGGCTCAATGCAAGCAAGGAACAACTGATATGAAGGACTTGAGATGACTTGAAATGAAGCTAGTGAGGTAGGGGGCTGCAGCTGCCACATCTTTGGAGAAAAGTTTCTCTTTCCTCCCTTTTAATGATTATTTTAATACCAACTTGCTACAACTTGCCATGCTTATCAAACTAACTCATTTTATGGTTTTCTTCTCATCCACACCTCACATTATCAGTTTGAATTACAATCCAAGGGTTGAGGATAGTCCAAGTTGTGAAAAACTGATTTTTGGGAAGTGTTGGAGTGTGGTTTTAAGTGTTGACAGGCCCAACTTCCATGGTGCATAACTTCCTTCTCAAACATGCTATTGAGGAGTTCTACCACAATTTGGAAAGCCCTTAAGTAGATCTACAACTTTAATGTTTTGGGAATTTCCAAATTCTTGACGGAACTAGGTTGAAAAACCCTTCAAAGTTCTGAAAAAAATCACTTATAAGTGTTAAATAACTTAGAATTTTTCTAAGTTATTTACCCTTCAAAAATGAATTTTGCTATAACTCCAATTCTATGCATTTTTTGATCATGGACCACTTTGAGGCTTTTGTAGGATTTGCCAAGAGCTTTCTAATGAACTTTGAACCACTTCAATTGGATGTGTGGTTGAGGAGTTATGGTCTTGCCCCTTTCGAAACCCTAATTTCCCGATTTTTGTAATTACTTCTCAACCCTTGATCCAATGGTCATGAAATTTTATGGGGAGGTGTAATATGATATAAGGAACATTTTTCATTCACACCTTGAAGTCAAATTCCTTATTGTTGGAAAGTTGACTTTTTGGTCAACCTTTCGATCGATCGGTGTCTACCGAGTCGCCCGTTGGTGATCCGGACATCCTGAGGACTTGAAACTCTTTTGATGGACTTTACTAAGCCATAGGAGCTTAATGGACCTTGATCCCACCATTGAAATACTCTTTGAATCAAAAGTCAAGCTACAGTTGACTTTTTTCTAATCGAAAATCCTAATCGGGTATCTCAAATTGCATTGTTCTCAATCCCCGGGTGACCACCTCAAATTGCACTCATTCTTGGTCCAATGTATCATCCTTGATCTTGTTTGAAGTTGGATCAATCCAAAACATTTATTGATCAAATCTTCGAAGTTTCGATTTTAACGGTACGGAACCCTGATTCATCTGCATCTTAACAAAGATAAACTGAAAATGGGTTAAGGTTAGTTAATCAAGAAAATATGATCCTACAATGATGATGAGGATCTAAGGGGTCAAAATTTGGGGTGCAACACTAAGCAAATGTCATAATTTATTCTCATGGTGATAGGGATATATCACCCTTTGACCTAAAAATACTTTAGACCCAAGATATATGGTCAAGTACTTTATTGTCGTTCAAATGTTATTCATAATATAGAATGACCATTAATATGGTTGATGTATAATCTACAAACTATCTTTAATATTCTTTATCGCTAACAAAAATAGAATTGAAATTAGAGATTGAGTTGTATAATCGATAGGTCAGAGTTGTCAATTCAGCGAATTGATTGATTTTTACTCACATGTATTTTTATTGAATTTCCTTAAAATTGTTCAAATTCGAAGGGAAAAAAATGTCTTCATAACTTTATTGATTCTAGATTTAGCTAATTGAATTATGAGTCCATGCGATACGACTCGAGTGTCGTTTTTCTAAACTATATTTTTATTAACTCATTTTGACTAACATTGTTCATGGTATATTTCACTCAGGGAACTGAATTGTACCAAAAAGAACCATAAAAAAATATTATAAAAACCGAACTGAACCGTTTCGATTTGTTTAGAACTGAACTTAACCAAACAGTTAGCTCGTTACACCGTTTCTTATTTCTAAATCTTACCAAATTATTAATAACCAATTTTTTAAGAGAATTGCTTATTATGGTGAACATAATCATTATATTTTTTTTAAAAAAAATCATTTTAGATCTTTTAAAACCATTTTATTAGCATTTTGTAGGACTAAAGTTATTTATATGCAAAACAATTGAAATTAAAATTATAAACCTAGTAAACAAAATTTAAATATTATTGAATATCATAGTGCTTAGATGGAATTTTAGATTACATCAATTAATAATGATTTAAAATTATTTTTTATATATAATGATATTTCATTGATTACTAGTATTGATTTTATTTTACCAGTAACACATAATCAATATTTCGAATATCCAAGTGAAAAACGTTTTTTTTTTTTACATAATTGATTGAAATTCACTATTTTTTATCATACTTATCTCTCACATGATAAATTAAATATTATTACCGTTAAAAAAAATTGATTTTTTAAGAAATTGATTTTTATATTTAATATAAACTTCAATGTTTAAAAATCAATTTCATTCATAAATATAAGAAAACATTTATATTATTTAACAACGATTCGATTACGTGATTATGTTCAATTCTGTAGATGTTTTGAACAATTCTAATTTTAATCCATGTGCAACTCGATTATGTGATCAGGTTCAATTTTATAGATGTTTTGAACAATTCTAATTTTGATCCATGTGCGATGGTGATTCAAGATCGTCAAATCTATCCAACGGACCCGTAAAGTACCCCAAACGATAAACTCCATTGGCCGAATCAAAGAGTCTAAGGACAGTAAAATAACCAAACAAAAGACATTAAACCAGAATTTGTGTGCCTGCCATGCTCTCAATTTAAAGTGGGCCAATCCCCCAACATGCAACCTGCAGGGGGCCGAGTCAAGATAGGTAGTGCTAACTCATTTGATGTCTTCTCCATCAGTCTACCTCCTCTCCTAGCTTGGTGTACTCAATTTTGTGGAGTTAAGACACTCCATATTTTTTCTCTCACCTTTTATTTATTTATTATGGAGAAACAATGATGGAAGGAAATGATTCATTTTGATTGCTTTTGCAAGCCTTTTATGAGTTAGTGGTCATGCCATTTAAAAAAGGCTTCATCATGTCATACATGAAGAACAAAACTGAATGATTGAACTAAAGAAAGAAGTGTATAGCATATTCCATCCATTTCTGCAATTACTTTTCAATTGTCAACTTATATTTGTTGTATACATATAAAGCAAATAATCTTTTTTTACAAGGAAGGTCTTCTGAATTTGAAACCTGCACTCAATGGCTGCACATAACCTCTATTTGAATAAAGAATGAGAGCTTCAAGAGAATTAATATTTCTATATTACGAAATGGCGAGTACATGAAAACCTGGATGGATTTACAAAACTAACAGAAACAAAAGGCTTATTCATTAACAATGTACTACTACTAAAGAAAACATAGATATTATGTAGATTCACGCCATCATAAACTGTTACAGAGTGTCAGAACATGATTCACCGCCAGATTTAGGAGCATAATTGAACGAACTCGGCATGAGAAATGAGAAAGAGCCTTCTGAATCTTCGAATGATGGTTGAGAGAATTCATTAAACGCACCAAAGTTGCAGCCTTCAAAGTTCAAAGATGAGAAGTAACTGATAGGATCATCAATGTTACCTTTTACATCCATGATGTTATCAACTCCGTTTTCACTTGAAGGATTTGATCCAAAACAGAAGTTCATGTTCCCTACCATAGCGCTATTTTCTTTGGTGGCGCATCGATCAGGTGGCTCGGCGAGTCCTTTATTGTCTTCCAAAGGAATGGCCGGTGTATGGCCTTGGAAAAGAGCAATGTGTCCGAAAAGCTTGTCTTTCCTTGAAAACGTTGTGCCACATGAACAGAGCCATTTATCCTTGCCACAGTGTTTTTCATGAGTTTTGAGATCTGCAATGACTGAAAACTTCTTGGTGTGGCATCTGCTGCATGTGTAACTCTTATCGCAGTGTGTTCTTTTGTAGTGGTTTTTCACACATAAAATAGTTTTCAGAGGCTGAAATTTCTTGTGATCCTTGTTACGCTTGCAGCCACCATAGGGGCACGAATACCTCTTGATAAGCTTCGGTTCGGACCCAGTTTCTTTATGTGGTTTTGCAAGGGCCGCCGGAGTTTTGTACTCATCACCATGGCCACGCATGTGCATACGGAGATTCGCATCCCTCTTGAACCCCTTGCCACATATTGTACAGAAATGTGTGTGGGGTGCAAGGATTTCTTCTTTTTCTAGTTGTAAAATCTCATACGAACCAGGTGGAAGATTCTCTCCCTCTTCCATATCTTCTTCATCTTTATGTTCGTGTTCGTCCATATTATGGTTTTGCTCCATTTCGCAATTATTAGGTACATCTTTATGAATGGACTGATCAAACAATTTATTTCCGATATTATTCTGTGGCTGAACACCATTACTCGTGCCTGTTCCAAAAGGAAGGTTAATTCCGCGAAGCTGACTAAGCTGTCCTACCAATGGACTTGTGTCCGTCAGAGTGTTCCTAACAGAAGGGAGAAGACTACCTGCAGTAGATATCAACTGAACAATAATCGATGTTAAATCGGCTGTAACGAGTTGCTGTTCTTGAGTCACGAGTTCACGAGGTTGTTCAAAAGGTTGACATTTCTTATTATTAGCAATCAAATGCACTACATCCTGGAGCTGATGAATCTTTTCTTCCAGGAACGAAAGGTTACTCAACATCGCACTTGGATCCCAATCTTGAAGTTTACTGGTCTCCTGATCAGTGTTCTTAATATCTTCGTTAGATTCACATGGAATCACAGACTGAGTTCGAGAGGGTTCGTTGATTTCTTTGAAAGGCATTTCAATACCGATGTCGTAGAAAGAGGAAGGATCCAAGGACAGATTTGTCTGTAATCCATTCCCAGGAGGAACTAAAGAAGTGGACCTTGCCCAATTGTTGGCACACAAGCTTCCTGTCGGATTCATTTCAAACTCGTTCAGGAGGAATCAAAATCCGGTCAATCAAAGGTACCTGTGTAAATAAAATTCAACATACATCAAATATCTTAACAATCCAACCAGTAAACGGACCGAAATCAATATGATGAAGAAGGATATTTTACATATGAACCCTAACTAGAAGAAATATATCATTCAACAGAGCTGTCAATCCGATTCCGAACACAACTATCACAGACCATAAATCCGACAATTGATAAGAAACTCTGGAAATTGAAATATCTAACAAATCAATCAACTTTCGATTGCTACATCATAGGTGTCCGATTAGCTAGTAAAAGCTAAGACTTATAAACTAGTCTAATCTCTCAAGAACAAACAATTCTTCATTTCACAGATCTCCTCTGCAGATCCAAATTCAAACTTCTCCCCTTTCAACAAATACTTAAATTTTCTAAAAATCATAAAAATAAAATTCGAAAACCCTCTTAACCCTAAACTTTCAAATGAAACTGGATATTGAAACACTCAATTTGCAAATAATCAAACATCAATCAAATCAACCCTAAACTTTCAAATGAAACTGGATATTGAAACACTCAATTTGCAAATAATCAAACATCAATCAAATCAACCCTAAATTAAAACATGCCAGCAACTAAACAGCAATTCAGATTTTAACCAAATAAAAATAATTAAAAATAGTCAATTCAGTAAAAAAAATCCCTTCAAAAAATTCAATAAAATAACAAGATGCATGCTTTCGATAGGAAAAAACCCTAGAACTTGAAGCAGCAACAAAGATCCACAGAATATAAAAAAAATAAAATAAAAAAAATAAAAAAAGATAATAATGAAATGAAAGAACTTACACGATGCTCTAAAAATCTGAAGACTCCTCCATAAGAAAATAAAAAATAAACAAAAATAAAAATTTGGGATGAGAAAGAAAACATAGGAGATGAAGTGAATGGGTTATATAGTAAAGATATGAAGTGGAAGGCAGAAGGAAGTTTAACTCATCATGTATTGTGTAATGTTGAGGTGAGCAGACCACAGGAGAACATAACCATAGTTGGTCAAACCCACTAAACTGCCGTCCATTTGTTGGGTCAATCTTGTTGGGGCCCACTTTGGTGGGGACGTTTCTTATCATCTTGTTTTTGTATCCATTGATTTTGGCCGTTGGATTGGTTTTGATGGTGTTGTGATTGGAAGATCATGTTGATAAGGAAGATGACAAATAAGTTGGGGTTTGGTTGTCTGTGATTTTAAGTGATGAGCCCATCGTGGGTCCTACAACACTTTCAAAACTCTTTAAATTTTAGAGTTTGAGCAAGTAAAAAAGATAATTTGAATTTTAAATTCGAAATCTTTTGTATCATTAATGAATATATTTTTTATTTCTTTTTTTAATTGTGTATTAACTATTATGTAAAACAATATTCAAAGAAAAGTGATGCGTAAATTACATTTGTTCATTGATGTATATAGTAGATAGAATTAAAATATTTATTAAAGATGAATTAAATATTTTAAAATATGTTAAATATTTAAATTATAAATGTTATTGAAAACGCCTAATGTCATAAATTTAAAACTTATAATTAAAAGATATTTTCAAAGAACACAATTAATTTTTTTTAATAAAAACTTCACCTTTTTATATATGAATAATTTTTTGACTTGTTTTCTTTATGTTATGTTGTCGATGTATAAAGATCAAATAGTTTGATTATTATAGAATTACATAAATATAAATAAATATTGTTGATAAGAATAGAACACTAAATTATGTGTATGTTCATTTAATTTAATTAATACATATTAATTAAATTATTTTATTTATTTGAGAAAGTATGAGTTGGAATGGTTGAAAATTAATTGTGAGATAGTATAAGTTTTGCTTTGATTAAAAAAATAAAGATTGAACATTTTATAATTGAAAGAATTCATATACTTATTATTTTAATATTTTGAATGAATATACAATGCATCTCTAAAAAATCACAATGTAAAAATCTCCCTCATGCCTTATATTAATGACCTAACATTGATAAAATTATTTTGACATGCAAATACATTGTAAAATACTCCCTTTTATCAGCATCGTAACACCAATATATTTGGCTGGATCATTTATTCAATACATTAAAAAATTTAATTTTAATTATAATGATGAATAGAACAAATAGTAAATCAAAATTTCAGTATATAATATTTTTTTGTGTTGGCTGACATCTTATTTTTTTTCAAAATAAATTGAATAGTTAACTTTTTAATCAAAATAAATTTGATAGTTTTTTTTTAAACGTCAAAATAAAATATATATTAAAGATCAAAACAAGTCATTCCAACATAAGATGTATCAAAGGTGATAAAAAAAAATCGAAGTTACTACCCAAAACTCTTAAAAAAGAAACAACAAAAAATGAGTTACATAATAGTTGATAAGCAAATTAAAAGATTTAACCTCCAAAACTGACAATTATAATCGAATGTAATATATTGCGACTTTAACCATTGAAGTTTTACCCTATTAGATAACGCTTGCAAATGTTCCATTTTATTCTGAAAAATACGTCTATTTCGCTCTTTCCTAATAGTGTTAAGAGTCAACCGATCACTTTTCGAAAAAACACCAAACCCGCCAAATTGTAAGAGATGATCATGTAACTTTCCTTGAGATGCTATTGAGAATCCTAACCAATTAGAAATAATAGGCCACAGTCTGCTAGAAAAAAAACACATTTTACAAATAAATGATCTTTGTCTTCATCCATGCCACAATTCGCCACACATCTTTGATTGTTCATAGCAAAAATCCAACGCCTAAACAAATTATTCTTTGTCGGAATATGATTTAGTAACAATCGTCAGACAAAAATCGAAACCTTGAGAGGTCAGTCTTCAACTACAAAATTTGGGAATTAGCCTGATTGTCGTTGATGTCAAATTCAAATAAATTTTTATAAGCACTGCTAACAATGTAGCAAGAAGAGGGATGTGAATTCCATACCCACTGATCTTCTACATCCACCTACAAAATAACTAGGCTTAACCGGTCAATACATTATCTCACTAACTCCTTCTCCCATGCAAACAACCTCTTACGCCACTTCCATGCCTCACCATTCTCTCTCACCCCTACTTATTCATTTTTGTTACAATCGCCACCATATTATCTGCTAAACCAAACAATCTATAAAATCTAACCTTTAAAGAAGTAAAGTCAACCTAAAGATCTCTCCAAAATAGAGTAGAAGACTCATATCATATCTTCCGATCAATGTTATCAAGCAACCATCCTCCATCGACCAAACCAACATCATCCCTTGTGTTTTTCAAATTCCCCCATCAAACAGAACCATCACTTCTCTCAAAATATAATTGTCTCCCTTCCTCACCATACTGAGCACACAATACCCTATACTAAAGACTTTCTGTCTCATTTAGAATCCTCCAACACCTTTTACCAAATATAATAGATTTTGAGACTTACATTGTTTAGATTATAAAGGCGTGCACGTCGAAGATTAAATCATAATATGTGTTTTTATTTAGTGGCGGGTTATTTCCCCCCATTAAAATTAGATGAATTTTGTGTGGTGCCTTAGTGATGAGCTGATTATATCCTAATCATGTAGTTTTAAGAGCATGCATATTTTTCATATGGACGATATAAGATTGATTGTTGATAATTTTGATTTAACTTTTTTATGTGTATTATCTTTAAGCTTACATTTATGTTATTAATATTTTTTATGGGTACTTTTTATTTAATTCTCTTGGACATGATATGGTGTGTTTATATTTTTCTTATTTTTAACTCTCATTTAGTTTATTTTGACACGGATTGTGCTTAATAGAAACTGACCCACAACAACATTTTAGGTACAAATGGGAGTTTCAAAGTGATTGATGTTTTTCTTTATGTGTGATCGTGGGAAAGAAAAGGATTTTACAATAATATCATGTTGTAATAAATCAATCTTGTTACATTTTGAGTTAATAATTCATTTATTTTTCAATTGAATTATAAATATGATGATGTTTCGGCTTAGGACCTTAGATTAGCATTGGATTGATTAAAATTTTAAAACCTTTTCTTTCTATTTAAACAAGTATTTGATAATTTATAAGTCATGTCTTAGATTAAAATCTGGGGTGTTACATACGCACTTTTGAATGATCGAAAATCCTCTCTTATTTTATTAAAATCACCATAAAATATTTTTGTGTCTAGCTAGTTGGTCATTATCTCAAATTATTCATTATGAGTGTAGTTTAAACTAAATAATGGATTAGCACCTTAGGCCTAATTGGTTATTTATTTTGTAACACCTCATATTCGATTATTAGTGCTTATAATCGACTAGTTACAACTCTTTTGAAAACCTTCCATTTCTTTACTTCATAATCGATTATGGGATTGGCCTAATCAATTATGAGCCTTAAAAAGCCCATGGATTCTTTTCATACTCAAGCCACCATTTGTTCAATAAATAGAGGGCTCTTTTCTCATTTCATTAACACCATAAAATATATTCTTAATCTCTCTCTCTCTCTCTCTCTCTCTCTCTCTCTCTCTCTCTCTCTCTCTCTCTCTTGTCTTAGTGCCTTTGAGAGTGAAGTTTTACATCTGTGAGGTGTTTGGCTCTGGTGTAAGGGCATTGTTGGAATATCTCATTGGAAAACGTTTTGGTTGTGAGTTAAACCAATTGAAAAGTTCTTGTTTGGTTGTTGGAGTGAACCTTGTAAAACCTCTACATGGTTGAAAAGTCTTTGTAGTTAAAAAATCTGTTTAGTTCGTGTGTTCATCCTGTAGCGAAAGCTCTCCTTAGTTCGAGATTGTCTTGGTGGTAAAATTTGTTGTTTGTTATGGAGGTCTCTGTAATTAAAATTATGTATTTGGTTATGAAGTTAGCCATTGTAAAACTCCAACCCTTGTGTAAGGAGGTTCGTGGGCAAAACCTATTAAAAACTCATATCATAATGAAACTATCCAAAATGAATTCTTGGGGAGA